GGCCTAGTGTTCTGGTGAGGTTGGCTTTTCCTTGCCTTTATTTTCTGAGAGAGGTTTCCGGCCTGGCCCCACCGCTCCGCAGCTGCCCCCTGAGCTAACTCCACCCCGGGTCCCTGTGGACGCCCAGCACCCGAGGCCCCCCTGTGCCCGGAGCAGGGCCTCGCGGTCTAGGCGCTGGCCTGGCGCCCAGGGTGCTGGCCGCGAGGAAGAGCCGGGGCGGGCGTGGGGGAATGGCGTGTGTGGGCCTCAGCCGTGTCCAGACCCCCGTCCACGGGCCAGCGAGCGGCAGTTGTCTCGTGCCGTCGGGACTGTGCTTTCGGAGGCCCCCAGCCCCCCTCCCGCGCCCTCTTGTAAAATAACTTTTCCCGGTAACAGAAGTGTTCATACTGGGCTGTCACCACGCTCCAACCCGGGCTGGGCAGTTGCCATGAGAACAAGACTTCTTCCGTCCAAACGTGCTTGTCACATCATGTCTTAGTGATTTCACTGAGTTTCTGGCTTTCAAATGCCTCATTGAACCAAGGAAGTAAATACTTGAGTGATGGCCCTCAGATCTCTGTTCAGCTCCTCACGTCCTTGAATCTTAGCGTGTGGGAAAGTGGACAGGAAGACTCAAGCAGAGACCTCTCTGGACATCCTTGGCTTTTCTGAATTTGAGTTCCTTCATCTCTACATCTGCAGGGGGTTAACCTACCACAATGTCCAACGTTCTACCTGGAATCTCTTTGGATATCTCAGGGGCACCTCAAAACTGAGTGTCCAAATGTGGACTCGACGTCTTCCCAGCGAAAGCTTACTTTCTAAGACCTTTCTTCAGGAAGTGGCACTTCTATCTCTTCAATTAGTTGTTCAAGCCACTAGGAATCATCTCTATCTGTCCCTCTCCCTCACCTCATCGAGTCACCAAATCATGACTAGACGCCTTCCAAACCAATCTACTTCATCTCCGCTTTCATCACTGTAGACCAGGCGGGTATCAGCTTCTGCCTGGAACCACAGAAGTCTCCTCACTGGTCCTCTTTCACCTGCTCTTGTTCCAGGTTATTTCCCACATGACAACCAGAGGGATTTTTTTTTTTTTTTCCTAACTCACAGCTGTGTGGTCATACCATCTTTTTATTATACCTTTCAATGCCCTCCTATTGCTCTTAGGATAGACTCCACAGTCCATAACCTGGCCTATAAGGAAGGCTCTCATCCCTTCTCTATCTTACTTTCTCCCTAGATGATCCCACCTGTTCCAATAGCATCAAATACCATCTAAACACTGATAAGTCAAATTTGTATTTCCATCCCTTGCACACTAGGAGACCGTCTCCTGGGCGTATCCACTGGGGTGTCTAATAGGCCTCTCAGACTTAACCAAAAGACAACTATTGATTTGTCTCTGCAAATCTCTTTCCCGGGAATCCTTCCCCTTCTTAGTAAAGAGTATATACCATTATCCACCTAATAACAAAGGCCAAAGTCAAGAGCCGTCCTTGATTCCCACATCTAGTCTATCACTCTAAAATATACCTCAAATCTATTCACTAACTACTAAAATCCCAAAGTCCAAATCAGCAGCATCTTTCTCCTGGACTACTACAAAAGCTTCCTAACTGATCTCCCTGCTTCTATTCTTGTCCTTTATGGTTCATCTTCCTCCCGGCAGCCAGAGTGATATTTCTAAAGCATAAATCAAATCATTTCACTCCTCTCTATACAACCCTTGGCATAAAATCTGAACTCTTTACAATGGCCTACAGGCTCCACATGATCTGGCTGCTGCCTGTCTCTCTGGCTTCATCTCCTTCTACTCTGTCTTCATTCTGTGTGTTCCAGTCACGCTGACCTTTCTGTCTGTCCATCACAGGGTATTGATGCTTGCTGTTTTTTCCTGCTTGGAATGCTTTTCTCCTTGACTTTACATGGTTTTTTCACTTTCCATTAAGGCCTCAACTCAGTTGTGATCTTTTCTGAAAGGTCTTTGCTGGCCACACTAGCCAAAGCAGGCTCCCAGTCACTCTCTACTACAAAACCCTATTTCATTTTCTTCATAGTACTTAGAATACTTCAAATTACGTTTATTTATTTATATGTTTATTATTGCTCTCCACACCTCCTGAAATGTAAGCCCTTACAGGCAAGGAATATCTCTCTTATTACCCACTCTATCACTGCTCAGAACAGTGCTCGATGCATAGTAGGCTTGCAATTGTGTGCTGACTCTCTGCTTGTCTTAGTAGTCTTATCTCATAGCACCATCCTTCTTGTCCACTATGTTCCAGGTTACTGTACTTCTCTCTTTTGAAAGTGCCATGCTCTTTCCCAACTGAGGACTCTTGCATCTGCTGTTTCCAGTACCCACTCTAGACCCCACACCCAGTTGTCATTTATACTTCTCTAACTAATACTCATCCTTCACGTATGAATCACTTAGAGCCAGCTTGCCTGACTTCCATTATAGGTTAGGATTCCGTTCCCATATCACCCTGTCCTTTTTTATGGCAATCATCACACTTAACATTATTTGTAAGCTCTTTGCAGGCAGGGACCAAGTTCTTAATCTTTCCCGTTTTATCTCCAGCACTTAGTTTCTGGAACATAGTAGGCATGTGAATATTTTTTTGTGTGTGTGAGGAAGATCAGCCCTGAGCTAATATCCATACTAATCCTCCTCTTTTTGTTTAGGAAGACTGGCTCTGAGCTAACATCTATTGCCAATCCTCCTCCTTTTTTTTTTCTTCCCTGAAGCCCCAGTAGATAGTTGTATGTCATAGTTGCACATCCTTCTAGTTGCTGTATGTGGGACGCGGCCTCAGCATGGCCGGACAAGCGGTGCGTCGGTGCGCGCCTGGGATCTGAACCCGGGCCTCCAGTAGCACCCGGGCCTCCAGTAGTGGAGCGCGCGCACTTAACTGCTAAGCCACGGGGCCGGCCCTGGCATGTGAATATTTGTGAACTGAATGAATGACTGTTGAATGAACGCAAGATTGAGAGAATCAAATCAGTTAAAAATTAGGCGAGCAGTTGGCATGGAGTGTAAGTTAGCTGAATCTGCCCTGCCTGCTTCGTAGAAGTTTTTGGATCTTGTGAGTTAGGGATAGGAAAGCATTATGTAAACTGAAAGTGCTCTATAAATAGGAGAATTTTTTTTTTTTTTTTGCTAAGGCCTGTTCATCATCAGATCCCTATGGTCTAATGGTCTTTCAAAGTATAAAGCTTTATGTTTCTTAGCAATAATGCCTGATTCTGTTATTTTAGAGCTATGTTTAGGTGGTAAAATATAAAGAATTGAGACTAATGTTGAGTCTAGGCCAGATCATAAGGTAGCCGCATTCTTGACACTCTTCATTCAGCTGGACCATCTTGCTTTAGCAGTACATCTGAGTTTTAATCTTGCCCTTGATGTGTGACCTTGGCCCAATTAGCTGATCTCCTCAAGCCGGATATATCTTTTTGTAAACCTAGTGACTATAATTCTTATCTCCCCAATATCTCACCAGAATTGGATTAAAGTTAGTAGGATATTTCAAACTTCCTGTGTGAAATTTGCTCTTTATATAAAAGTAATTTAGTTTTCTTATTAATTTAATTTCTTCAGAATCTGCCATTGTTTCATGCCAAGAACAAAGCTGTATATTTTAGAAGCTTTCTTTTCACACTTTCCTATATCTGTCTTCTGTCACTAAGACCCTTGAGATATCTACATCAAGGACTCAGAGTTTATAGCTCAAAGTTGTAAAAGATGTTCTTTTCTCTCTAGCTAAGGATAGTCTGTCCACCATTTGCCCTTCTGAAACTGATGCTTTTTTTTTTTTTTTTCATTTTTAATCTTTTCACTTACATGTACTGCTTCAGGGCAATTCACCCAATGGTGTAACCAAAAAATAAAATGTCCCTCCTTGCCTGCAGTTTTACATCCAAATGCTTTTTGGGTTCCTGGGGTTGATAGGATTTTTAGAGTGCTGCAGTGAATTCAATGTGATGTGAATGCTAATAGGTTGATAATGTAACAAGCCACAACTAGTAGGCAGGGTGGTGAGATGAGATACCATTCTATTGCTTTTCCAGAATAAGGAGCACAGTCCTAGACCTACTGACCAAAGGTAGTTTTCCCATTAGCCTTTAGGGTGGTTAAGATGGAAGTGGAAGAGGCACTTAGGTGCAGAGAGTAACTTAAGAGGTTGACTTGGACTCCTTGTTTATCTATTGAGTTGTCCATGAGGCCTTTTGATTTCATTTCAGTGCGTCTTCCTACCTTTCCTACCTTTCCTACCTACCCTCCGAAGCAAAACAAAAGCTGACACAGTTCCAAGGACAAATCTATTCCTAAACAAATGCCACAGGCATTTTAAAGATTGTCTCTTACCAGAGAGAGTGGGAAGAAACCTAATGAAAAGGAGAATGACATCAATAAGCGTGAAAGTATCCTGGGTAGTCTTAGATCAGTCTCTTCCTGTCCCATATCTTAACACGTTTCGTTTTTAAAAAGGCTCTTCTTTATTCAATAATCTCTGTGTAGAGCACTACAGTAAGCAATTATATGTGCATTATTTCATCAACCATTCTAATCACCCTGCAAGGTGAGGAAACTGAGAATAGTTCCTTTTGAAAATAGAGCTTGAAGACAAACAAATGTGAATGTAACCCTTTACACCCCAAGACATAATTCTAAGAACTTTTACTCAAAAGATCCTACATTTTGGTTTGATGCCTTTGTACCCAAATTGAGTTTGCCTTGAGTCATCCAGAGTTATGAGAGTGACCAGGGTTACAGTTTAATAAAAAGACCGACTGGATAATGTATTTTAATGGAAAATATATGGGCCAAAGGAATCAATAATGTTGGGGGAGGTAATCCTGGTTCCGCACTGAGTTTTGTGAACTTGTGAGAGTCGTTTCCTTCTTTGGTGAAGTCACTTCCCTCTTGTCCCCTCTAAAACGAAGGGCACTTCCAGCTATAGGCAGCCATGAATCTCTAGTTGGAAATCTAGACTCTCAGTCTGAATCTATGAGACCAGCCAAGGACTTTTGACGGTGGAAGGAGAGTTGGTCATCTGTCTTCAATCTCAGTTCTAAAACTTGGGTGTTGGATTCATAGCTTCAGTGGGAGTTCCCTATTAAGTTGCCCATACTCATTAGTGGTTGTAGAGCCTGTCATGTTAGATCTGCTCAATAAATGTATTTTGAGTAAATGCTTATGAAAGCTCTTTTATTCTTTAACACTGTGGAGGATTTTCCCATCAAATATTACCAGATATATTTAATGATATTACTTCCTTATTATCATCAACTTCGTCCTCAATAGCCAGTATATGTCATTATCCTCATATAGCACTCAGCCCTGCTTCAGGTTCTTTGCACTGATCCAGATGTTTCTTTATGTGAAACAAATTACTAAAACCTTGAAAAATCTTTCTTTTTCTAATATCAGTTCCTATGTGTCATTTAATTATTGGGAATTTTCAAGGAAAGATTCTTGATTGGGATTTGTCAGATTTTGCACTGAGATTAAAGCTAATCAGTTTTCCTCTTCTGAATTTGTTTTTCTAGTGAAGCATTAAGAGAAACTCTTCAAATCTATCCGAACAGTTAATGTTTATATAATAGTCTAGAGTTTATGAAGTGCTATTTACAGCATTATCTCATTTAATCCTTGCAACAATTCCAGGGGTAAGTGGGATCCCCATTTGTAGACATAGAAACTGAGAACTGAAGAGACTAAGTGACTTGCTCAGGGTCTAATGACTAATGGGAGGCAAAGCTAGGACTCAGTTCCTTGGACCTCCAATACTAAATCTTACGTCCTTCCTGCTATCCCACGTTGCCTATAATTTTTCTTCTTTTGTTTTAAAGCTATAATGTTTTGTGATCACCTAAAAATGGGTTGAGAGTCTGACCCTTCATCTGCAAGATCCCATCAACTTAATAGTTACTGGGACATAGTGTCACCATGACTGCAGTACTCATGTTGGAAAATAACCTTGTGAAATCTTTGAACCACTACTACTATGTGGTTGTTTTGGATTAGGCTGTCTAATCTTTATTTTCAAATGAGGTAATTAGTGACTGATGTTTGTTTCTGAAGCAGGCATCCAGGAATTAGCAGGAACAGGCTCCAGCTAGAAGAGGGCTCTTTTTACTTCTTTCAGACAGCCAGCTGTGGTGCAGCACATGAAGTTTCCTCTCCGGATTGTCATTTCCAGCAAATGTCCTTCATTTCCTTTGCTCTGATGCTCCCAGTCCTCAGTCTCTGGAGAGAAGTGTCTGCATTTTAGAAGAACTCTCTGAATAATTGAAAGCTGAATTTTTGTGGCAGCAACCTAAGTCTCACCAAGTGGGCTCTCTGCTACTTACAGAAGTCATCTAGCACCAAAAACACATCAAATCTAGCCTGGGTTCCTGCCATGCTTTGGGCATGGGGAATCAGCAAGTTTTTTCTCAGGATATGAACCATATTTCCCCTCTGGTAATTTTGCAGTTGGCGCCAACTCTTTCTTTTCACTTTTGACTGCAGTTCTAGTCTAAATAGTCTCATGGGCTTTGGCTCCAACCTCCTGTCATTCTAATCCCAAGCAGCCGAGATCAGACACTGGGTTATCTCTTTACTGGCAGCCCCAGACTTGAACTTGGGAAATTGTGGGAAATTCCATTCTTTGGGCACATAGATTTCTGACTCCACCATACAAGAGTTTTCCCTGCTAAGTAGAAATGGTATCAGGGTAATATGGAGGAAAGAATAATGAGAGTAGTCCTTTATGTGTGTATAATACTTAGTACTTACAAAATGATTTTATATTTATTATTTTGTTTTTTCTTCCTAATAACTCCAGAAAGCAGAGTGGAAAAGTGGTTAAGAGCATCAAGGATTTATACTGCCTCAGTTTGAATCCCAGTTCCAAAATTCGTACCTATGGGAAGGTTATTTCATCTCTCAGTGCCTCAGTTTCCTCATCTGTCATATTTAGACTACTTATCTCATAGGCTTGTTGTGAGGGTTAGATAAGAAAATCTATATAAGGCTCTTAAAATAAGGCATGACAAAAAGTTGTTGTTGTTAGTTGTACAAATTATTGTACAAATAAGAAAACCAAGGCCCAGAGAAACTAGGTAGGAACATTGAAGCTGAGATTCAAACCTAAGTTATTCTTACTTTGTGTCTGTTCTGTCTGCCTCATCTCAGCTGCCTCTGAAATCAATACCTTGCATTGTATATAGGTAGCTTTGATCCTCAGGAACACTGGAACTCTTACTCTCATTATTTATTATTTAAACTTTCATATGAAGAGACAAAGTGCAGGGTTTATTATCTCTACAAATAAAAAGAGGCATGGGTTAGGCCGGTCCGGTGGCGCAAGCGGTTAAGTGCATGTGCTCCACTGCGGTGGCCCGGGGTTCGCTGGTTCAGATCCCGGGCGTGCACTGACGCACCACTTGGTAAGCCATGCTATGGCCGTGTCCCATATACAGTGGAGGAAGATGGGCATGGATGTTAGCCCAGGGCCAGTGTTCCTCAGCCAAAAAAAAAAAAGAGGAGGATTGGCAGATGTTAGCACAAGGCCGATCTCACCAAAAAAAATAAATAAATAAATAAAGAGGCATGGAAAAGTCCTAGTGACTTAGAAAATCACAATTGATTTGATTGATTCTTAACCTGAGTGTGTACCTCATGCCCTTTTGGAGGAGAAGAGACATGCTATCCTTCTTTTTCCATCTCTCCCCTTTCCTGAGTTTCCCACAGAGAGGACCTTAAGTGGGCAGAGATTCTGGGATAGGAAAAGTAAAACTAGTAAGTGCTAGGAGAATAGTAGGCATTCTTGTAGCACAGAGCAGTCTCACATGTGGTGAAGAGGAAGAGTGGTTGAGAGGTAGGGAAGATAAGGCATTCCTCGGCGTGGCTGGAAAACAGTGTACATCCTTATTTGCTGCTTTGGCTGTGGCAGGGAGGTGTGCTCATCCCTTAACTTCATCTAAAATTAATAGCAGAGGTCTTCCTAATTGTGCCACTTATTGGTGCATCCTTTGGATTGTTTCATTCTTTGTCTTGGGCCCTCTTTACTTTGGCCTAGGTTCCAGGGAAAGTGGGGGCAAGGGAGGAGAGTAGATTCAAGAGATATTTGGGAGATAGATTTAATCCTAACCAAAAAAAAACCCCAGATGTTATTATCATTAATCTCATGGAAGAATGGTGATTTGCACAAGGTTGTAAGGTAAATGACAAAACTTGAACTCAGGTCTTTTGACTTCAAGTATAGAGCTCATCCCAAAACACCATGTGTCCTCCCCCTGTAGGTAGAATAGTCCAGGTGATTAATATCAGAACTGATCCTGGGACATATGCCAGCTGCTGAGTGTTGGACATTTTACTCGTGAAGAGATGCTGCAGATGGGGCAGGTTCTCTTTCCCATGCACAAGGAGCCATTGTTAGCTTTTTAATAATTCTCTAATATTTCTGCTTTATTTAGGCTATCATTTGGAAGCAATGAGTTTAAAACCCTTCACCTACCCATTTCCAGAGACGAGGTTTCTTCATGCAGGACCCAATGTGTATAAATTCAAAATCAGATATGGCAACAGCATCAGGTAATTTTAAAACTAGGTGTGTAGGCTTTGCAAACACAGGTTAGTGCACTCCCACAGGTCATCCTTTCTCTGAAGGGATGGCTGAAATAGCACCTTGTAGGACTCTCTTTCCCAGGTATTTTATATTCTGTATATTATTATTCATGTAAGTTTCTAAATTAGTGATGGCATACCTTTGGGGCAGTGGTTCTCAAAATTTTTTATCTCAGGACCCCTTGGTACTCTTAAAATTATTGAGGATCCCAAAGAGTTTTTGATTGATTGTGTTATACCTGTCAATATTTATCATAAAAAATTAAAACAATACACTTATTAATTTAAACATAATATATCATTAAATTGTTAACAAATAACATATTTTCTTAAAAATAACTATATTTTAAAAAAATTAATGAGAAGAATGGCATTGTTTACATTCCTGGGATTTACCCTAGAAATGCAAAGATGGTTCAGCATACAAAAATCAATCAATAGGGGGCCATGGCTTGGCGGTTGAGTGTGTGCACTCTGCTACTGGTGGCCCAGGTTCGGATCCCGGGTGCGCGCTGACACACTGCTTGTCCGGCCATCCTGAGGCAGTGTCCCGCATACAGCAGCTAGAAGGTTGTGCAACTATGACATACAACTATCTGCTGGAGCTTTGGGGAGAAAAAGGGGAAAAAAAAAACAAAAGAGGAGGATTGACAATAGATGTTAGCTCAGGGCTGATCTTCCTCACACACACAAAAAAAATCAATCAATATAATCCACCATATTAATAGAATGAAAGGAAAAAAATACATGTTCATCTCAATTGATGCTGAAAAAGCATTTGACCAAATCCAGCACCCTTTTGTGATAAAAACACTGAAACTAGGAGTAGAGGGTAACTTCCTCAATGTAATAAAGGCTGTGTATGAAAAACCCATGGCTAACATCATACTCAGTGGTGAAAAACTTAAAGCTTTACCCTTAAGATCAAGAACAAGACAAGGATGCCCACTTTCATCACTCTGTTCAACATAGTACTGTAGTTTTAGCCAGAGCAGTTAGTCAAGAAAAAGAAATAAAATGCATACAAGTTGGAAAGAAAGAAGTGAAACTATCTCTGTTTGCAGATGACGTGATCTTATATGTAGAAAACCCTAAACAATCCACACAAAAAAACTGTTAGAGCTGATCAATGAATTCAGCAAAGTTGCAGGTTACAAAATCAACATGCAAACATCAGTTGTATTAGGGGTCGGCCCAGTGGCATAGTGGTTAAATTCACACACTCTGCTTCGGTGGCCCAGGGTTCTCAGGTTCGGATCCCGGGCGTGGACCTATACACCACTCGTCAAGCCACGCTGTGGCAGCGTCCCACATACAAAATAGAGGAAGATTGGCACAGGTGTTAGCTCAGGGCCAATCTTCCTCAAGCAAAAAGAGGAAGATTGGCAACAGATGTTAGATCAGGTCCAATCTTCCTCACCAAAAAAAAAAAAAAAACACAGAAAAACCAACTTACTACAAACCTACAAGTAATCAAAAAGTGTGGTACTGGCATAAGGACAGACACATAGACCAATAGGGTAGAATTGAGAGTCCAGAAATAAACCCTCACATCTATGGCCAATTGATTTTCAACTAGAATGCGAAAACCATTCAATGGGGAAAGAATAGTCTCTTTAACAAATGGTTCTGAGAAGACACCAAAAGCACAGGCAACAAAAGAAATTAGATAAATTGGACTTCGTTAAGTTTTTTTTTAATAGTGTCAAAGGACACTATCAACAGAGTGAAAAGGCAACCCACAAATAGAAAGGAATATTTGCAGTCATATATCTGGTAAGAGTTTAATATCCAGAATATATAAAGAGCTACAACTCAACAACAAAAAGATGAATAACCCAATTTAAAAGTGGACAAAGGACTTGACTAGACATTTCTCCAAAGAAGATAAACAAATGGTCAGTAAGCACATGAAAAGATGCTAAATACCATTAGTCACTAGGGAAATGCAAATCAAAACCACAATGAGATACCCCACTTTGCAACCCTACCAGGATGGCTATAATAAAAAAACAGAAAATAATAGTTGTTGGCAAGGATGTGGAGAAATTGGAACCCTCATACATTGCTGGTGGAAATATAAAATGATACAGCTGCTATGGAAAACAGTTTGGCAGTTCGTCAAAAAGTTAAACATAGAATTATCATATGACCCAGCAATTTCCCTCCTAAGTACATGTCCAAAAGAATTGAAAACAGGGACTCAAACATGCTTGTACAACAATGTTCATAGCCGCATTATTCACAATAGCCAAAAGGTAGAAACAACCCAAATGTCCATCAATAGGTAAATAGGTAAACAAAATGTGGTTATGTGTGTGGTATATACATATATACAATGTAATATTATTCAGCCATAAAAAGAAATTGCAAAAGGAATGAAGTTTTGATACATGTACAACATGGATGAACCTTGAAAATATTATGCTAAGTGAAATAAGCCAGTAACAAAAGGACAAATATTGTATGATTCCGCTTGTATGAAATATTGGAATGAGAAAATTCATAGAGATAGAAAGTAGGTTAGAGGTCACCAGGAATGGGGTGGAGGGAGTTATTGCTTACTGAGTACAGTGTTTCTGTTTGGGGAGGTAAGCTTTGGAAATAGATAGTTGTGATGGTTGCACACTATGGTTGTGAAGGTAATTAATACCACTGAATTGTATACTTAAAATGAGAAATTTTAGGTTATATTTTACCACAATTTTAAAATGTATTAATTAATTTAAAAGTTATAATATATCCATTAAGTGTTAACACATTTTTATTAAAAATAACTACATTCTCCTGTAGTGTGGTTACCGGGGGCAATGGGAGTAGGGGGTGGGCACAAGGGGTGAAGGGAGACATGTATATGGTGATGGACAAACAAAAATGTACAACCAAAAAGTTCACAATGTTATAAACTGTTAAAACATCAATTTAAAAAACCCCTACATTCTCTAAAACAAAAAATGAGAAGATTGGCATCATTTTAAATTTCTGCAAATCTCATTAATTTCTGGCATAACAGAAGACTGCTAGATTATCATATCTGCTTCTGCATTCAATTGGTTGTGAATTTTTTGGGGGTTGAATTATGAAAAAATTCCAGCCTCACATAGATTTGTAGTTGGGAAAGGTAGGAGTATATCAATAGCCTTCTCAGATCATTGTGGCTATTCTTCTTTAACCTGAGATCAAAACTTGGCAAGTGGTAGTTGTTTTTTTTTCTTTTTTTTTAATGTGGTAGTTTTTTAAAGGTTAGTTGCAATATAGAATCTGAAATTACATCAGTGAACTTTTTGAACTCTGCTACATTAAAATTCATTGGTCTATCTTGTTCTTTGAATGAATCTTTTACCTAGGATGACTTTGTAACATGATACGTTTCGTTGATCGTTTGGAAAATATTGGTTCGCTAATTTATGCAGATTGTCCAAATGTTGACACATTTCATTATACAATATCAAAAAATCCTATTTGCTAATATCGCTACCAGTCTTATCAGAAAAGTGTTTAACTCTTTGGAAGCTGTCAGTCTCACAGTGGTGGATAGAAGTTTTCCAAAAATCAGATTTTTGCTTGAAATCCCCAAATTTATCATTGACAGCAAATACTGTCAGTATTTGTTTTCCTTGAATTGATAAGCTCACTGTTCGTTTTTAAGAAGATGTCATATTCCCAAGTCTGAATAACAACCATAGTTTGTCAGTCAGCTGATCGTTCAAGCAAAATACCGTTCCATGAGAAGAGCAGCTGGTTCAGTTTGCAACTTAAACAGTCGCTCAAGTGCTTTTCCTCAAGAAAACCATCATATTTTGGTATGCAGCAGAAGTGCTTTATGCGTACTTCCCATTTTATAACATAATATATTAAAAAGACATGTATTCAAGGGTCGAGATTTTATAAAATTATTAGTTTTTTACTGCTTCGTCTCGGATATGAAATGAAACTGGATTTTTTTTTTCCTATGTGGCAGTAGAGATTACTACAACTGCTAGTACAGTAGTGCAACTGGCTAAGGCACCGGGAGTTTTGCCCTCCATTGCTTTTGCACTAATGATTACAAATGTTAACACAGTGAAAAAGACAAACATCATCTTAGTATTATTATGAAAATAGTTTTGCCCTTGGAGACCCCTTAAAAGAGTCTTGAGCACCCCTAGGGGTCCACACACTACAGTTGAGTACAACTGGTCTAACGAATTATTAACTTTCACGGTGGGAATTTCAAGTCTTGGCAGATTAATGGAGAAGATATTTTGGTACAGCCTTGTACCAGTTCTCAGACCACACCACCTAGGTGATCACTTCTTCCCATGAGCGCTGGGTCAGCACACGCAATTGTTGTTTAGTCACATTTCTTTAGCTCAGTGGAAATGTCATTTTTGCTCTACTGTGTACTGACAGTAGAGTCTGCTGTCTCCAGAGCTTTCCTTCTTGGCTTACTTATCTCTTGTCTGTTTACCTTCTAGGGGGGAAGAGATAGAAAATAAAGAAGTCATCGTCCAGGAGCTGGAGGTAGGGTAAGAAGCAGTCTTCTGGGAAAGTTATTCTTTAAGCCAAGGATGTGTCCATATCCAGATTTTAATTATTTCCTACCAACTGAGTCACAACCTCCACTTGATTATTTGGCTTCTTCCTGCCACATTTCCTTTGCAAAGAAACTACTGTTTTTCCAGGGAAATTAAAGCCTGTATCCTTTCTCAGTTCTCCTAGTTGAAGTGTCAGCACCTTTGAGGCTGAGAGTTATTTTGTTTCCACCAGAGTTCCCAGCCATGAGCAGCTCTCTTTTGTGGCAGCTGGCAAAAAGAAAGCTTCCGGAGGACTGCTGCCTTCCAGGGCTCTGGGAAACCTCACCATCCCAACCACTGCCTGGTACTTGACGTTCAGGAAGCTCAACTGTAAATACACAGACAAGACTGCTGTGTCTTCGTTCTAATTGGAAACATTTGCAGTTGCTTTATTCCCACTTCAGTTTCATTCCTTTTCTACACAGCTCCTCTAGCTTTAGGTCCTCCGACAGGAAGAAGACTGAACAGGTGGACAACTTTGTAAATTGATGAAAGCACTGGGCAAGGAGTTCTGGGGGCTGGCCCTGGATTCCAGTCCTAGCTGAGCCACTAATTGCCTCATTTGTAAAGTGAGAGTTTTAAACTAGTTTATTCTCTTCTAACTTTACAACTCAATGATTTATGACTGTTGTGAATTTATGAAGACATGCTGCTACATTTCAAAGAATTCAAATACAATTAAAATACACAAACCAAGACTCTATGAAACCATAAATCTGAGTCATAGCCTTAAAGGTACCTGTGGCTCTTTGGCTAAGTGTTGAAAGATACGTAAGGATCTTGCAGGACCTTGGAGACATCATTAGAAATAATAATCATTTTAATATAGGATGATGACAATTTTCTGCTTATTTTAACTGTGAGTAGAGCAGAATTTATTTCACTTTGCATCAGTTAATTTGGGCAGAGAGGGCCGGCGCCGTGGCTTAGCCATTAAGTGCGCACGCTCCGCTACTGGCGGCCCGGGTTCGGATCTCGGGCGCGCCGACACACCGCTTCTCTGGCCATGCTGAGGCCGCGTCCCACATACAGCAACTAGAAGGATGTGCAACTATGACATACAACTATCTACTGGGGCTTTGGGGAAAAAAAAAGGAGGAGGATTGGCAATAGATGTTAGCTCAGAGCTGGTCTTCCTCAGCAAAAAGAAGAGGATTAGCATGGATGTTAGATGAGAGCTGATCTTCCTCACAAAATAATAATAATAATAATAATTTGGGCAGAGAAAAGCTCAAGGCAGTGTAGTAAAATGGAGAGAGGATAGACTTTAGAGCCAGTCAAGTCTGGATTTGAATTCTAGTTCTGCTTCGCAGTGTGACTTTGGGCAAGTTACCTACCTTCTCTGAATCTGTTTCCTTACCTGTCAGTGACGTTGATAAATAATACCTGTTTTCAAGATTGTGGTGAAGGTTAGAAATAGATGTGTGCAATGCCTGCCACACAGTAGCTCAATAAATGATAGCTAGAGAGCATTTATATACATTTATAATCATATTAAAGTTTTCAAAGCACTTTTTATACATTCTCTTTCTCCTACTCATTAATTTTGAGGCAGATGTTACTATCCTCTTTTATTCATTTAAAAAACACATATTGAGGGGCCGGCCTGGTGGCGCAAGCAGTTAAGTGCGCGTGCTCCGCTGTGGCAGCCTGGGGTTTGCCGACTCGCATCCCGGGTGGGCACTGACACACTGCTTCGCAAGCCATGCTGTGGTGGCATCCCATATAAAGTGGAGGAAGATTGGCACGGGTGTTAGCCCAGGGCCAGTCTTCCTCGGCAAAAAAAGAGGAGGATTGGCAGATGTTAGCACAGCGCTGATCTCACAAAAAAAAAAAAAAAAAAAGAAAAAATAAATAAATAAAAAATAAAAAAAAAAAAAAAAAAAAAAAAAACATATTGATAGGCAGTATAGCCTAATGGTTAAGAGGACGAGCTCTGGAACCCCACTGCCTGGATTAATATCTTGGCTCCACCATTACTAGCTGTGTAATCTTGAATGAGTTATTTCACCTCTTTTTGTCTCAGTTTCTTCATCTGTAAAATGGAGATAATGGAAGTGTTTATCTCATAGGGTTTTTTATTGTTGTTGTTAGTGCCATCAAGTGGATTCCAACTCCTATTGACCCTTGTACAGCAGAGTGGAACCCTGCCCGGTCTTTTTGCACCATCCTCTCACCTTCTGGTGCTATATCAGACAATGCTCTGTGCTAGTCACAGGGTTTTCATGGCCAATTTTTTCAGAAGTGGGTGGCCAGTTCTCTCTTCCTAGTCTGTCTTAGTCTGGAAGCTCTGCTGAAACCTGTCCACTGTGGGTGACCCTGCTGATATTTGAAATACTGACAGCATAGCTTTCAGCATCAGAGCAACGCGCAGCTGCCACAGTATGACAGTCGTGGTGTGGATCCCTGACTGGGAAACACACCTAGGTCGCAGCAGTGAGAGTGCCGAATCTTATTACTAGACCGCCAGGGCTGGCTCATAGGGGTTTTGTGAGTGTTAAATTAATATGTATAAAAACAATAATACTTGGGTAGTGATTACTCAATAAGTATTAGCTATTAAAATTATGAGCTAGAAACCATGCTAATACAGAGAATGTAAAGATAAACAAGACAAGTTTCTGCCTTCTGTGACCCCAAATATGAGGAAAATGAGGCTTAGACAGATAAAATGACAAAGCTAGGGCTGAAATTCAGACTTTTTCTTCCCCATAGAGATCCAGTAGTCTTTTTTATGATCTCAAATTGTTTAATTAGTGTATACAAATAAGCATAGGTTAATTAGAAACTAATCAATTAAGATTTTAAGAGTAAAAGAAAAGGTTTGACTTAACGCGAAAGCAAAATAACTATATAGCAATAAATACCACTATTATTCATTCATTCAGTATACATTATTGAGGACTTGTCATGCATCATCCACTATGACAGACACTATAGAAGGGATGCTAAAGTAAGTCAGGTGTATATTTTACCTCAAGGAGATTTCTCAGTAAGGAAAATAAAACAAGTGTACATGGTGTGTAGTGGAGGCCCAAGGCTAACTGCTGTGGAGTTTGAGACTAACAGTTAATTACAGCTTGGGGAATCAGGGAAAACCTTCTGGAGGAGTTGGCTTTTGAACTGTACCTTAAAGAATAGGCAGGATTTGGACATATGCTGATGGGTAGAAAGGGTATTTCAGGCAGAGGTAACAGACTATGCAAGAGCATAGAAATGGAGAAGCAGAAGTCACGTTCAGGGAACAGCAAATAGTTCCTCTTTAATAGAATGTAGGGTATGTGAAAAGCAATGACAAGTATAAATGGAAAGATTGGCTGAGACTAGATAGTATTACAGTCATTTCACATATTTCTTCCAGGATTCTATTCGTGTGGTCTTGGGAAACTTGGACAGTCTGCAGCCGTTTGCTACAGAACACTTTGTTATATTTCCTTGTATCCTTTCATTTCTGAATTGAAATGAGCTACAACTCACATTGTAGGTTCAAATGGAAGCAGCAAACCCATAGGTAGTTTGGAGGGTAGGTCAGGAAAAGGAGGAAGAGTCTTATCCCTAAAATAGTACTCAGAGATTCGTAGTGACTGCTTTCCTCACTCCTTAGCACCGTTTCCCAGATAAAAGCAGATGGGAGAGAGTGGCCCACCTGAAATTCAAACATGGGGAAATCGTCTTGGTCCCCTATCCATTTGTTTTCACTCTGTACGTGGAGATGAAATGGTTTCATGAAGACCTGTCACCTGGTAAGTAGAATGATGGAGGTGTGGGTGTGGAGAAGAAAAAGGGAAAGGTTGAATGCCCGTGGGTTAGCAGTGCAAGCTGAGTATGGCAAAATGGTCAGCCCGACTGGGCCCCTACACTGCACAGTGCAGAGGTCAGGAGCAAATGCTCCAAGCAAGACCGCCCGGTTCAAATCCTGGTGACTTTGCCACTTAATAGTTGTGTGACATTAGACAAATTACTACTTTCTGTGCCTCCTTTGTGAAATAGTGGAGAATAATAATAGTACCTATCTCACTGAGTTGTTAAAAGGATTAAATATGTAAGTATTGGTAGGTGGAAAGCTCAGAGTCTAACATTGTGTAATCACTCAATGAAAGAGACCTATTATGTAAATACTTCCTTCCATTTTAGAGTAGTCAGTGACTTTCACCTTAGTGGTGTCTTAAAGGCATCTCCCGATTTTTAATCTCTGAGGGCCATTGCTATTTTCACTCTTAGAGGCACAAGTAGACACCTGCCAATTTGATTTGGAAAAGGGTGCAAAGGCCTTGCCTCAAAATATCTCCCCAATTCACTTGTCACTGATGCCTGAAGTTGCACTTTTTTTCTTTTATAGTAGTGATCCCCCCGTTTTAAGTGGCATCTCTTTAGACTATATTGTGAGTCAAACCCTTTTCAGCTTGTAGATGACAACAGTTCTAACGTAGGGGAGGAAGAGAGTTTGAAGACACTATTTCTAGGAAAAGTGGTACCAGGCACAAGGGAGAAGGGCATACACAGGTCTAGGTCCAGTTCTGAGAAGTAAATGGTAGCCAGAAATCCAGAGGAAACAGAGTCTTGATTCATTATGACGTTCACATTTCCTATTGTAGGGAAACCCATAAACGACAGTCCTCTTGCGTTGGTAAGTTTGCCTTTTCTCTACAAAATGAAAATTGCCTTTATTGCCTCATGTTGTCCAAAAAGTCCTGTCTTGTCTCTTCCTCTTACTTTGACCTTTGGCTGCTGCCCAGGTCCAATCAGAATTGTGTACATGAGACCATCTTTTTTCCCATGGCTGGATTTCTGAGACTATCTCAGACTATCCTTACCTGAAAAGCTGGTGTTAAAAGTTGCCTTTGGCAGTTTAAAGGGAATTCTCTTCACTATGCCCTCATGAGCTATGAGAAACTCTGGAAAAGGGGGAGTCACAGGAGTCTGGTTCCTTTCTGAAGGTCCTACCTGAGAGGAAAGCAGCAGGAGCCATGAGGAGGAAACGAAAATGTGAGGAAGTGCCCAGTTCCCCCAGCAAGCCAGGGCTGGACAGGTCAGTGGTGTTGGGAGAGAGTCTCAATCCTGCATCCTAGTCAGGCTTTGCCAGCTATTGCTGCTGGTTGATCTCATCCTTGGACGAGTCTTTCTCTCTTGGGGCTTTATTGATACCTGCCTATTCCAGTGGGTGTGTTACCAATTGAACTCTTTCCCCAACTGGGTCTTTGGGGCCAGAGGCCAAGGTAACAGGTAGACTAAGGGAAGGAAGCAAGTTGATATTTGCAGTGTAATTTGAACATAGTCCCTTCCTTAGCAAGGTAGGATTCTTCTGTTCATCAAGATGAAGGCTGAGATGAAATGCAATCAGATCTATGCAATTGATTCCAACACATATTCAATGAGTACTTATTATGATCATACTACCAGAAAACACAGTCAGAAGGCACAAGACTTAAGAAGTCCCAGAATATTATACAAGAATCTAGAGAAACCCTCAAGAGTGTGGGAACAAATAAAATATAATTCTGTTTTACCTAGTGTGCAGTAAGCTTTTGGAGCTCTACCTTAAGGGGTAGTCCAGGCTAAGATATAAATTTCTGCAAGAGGGTATGTATCAATTACTGGGTGAACTGCTGCAATATTAGGGGGAATGTTGGGCACATCCCTAACATTTTGAAGCTGCTATTATGGAGGCTACTTATTTTCTTCTTTTGCTTCTCTGTCAGGGACAGAATGAGTCAGTAAGACAATTCAGTTGTTCTTGTTAGCACCCAGAGAGGGCTGCTGGAATAATCCAAGGTGTGATTTGCTCCCCAGCCCAAAGTGCTTTCAGCTCAGGTTCACAGAGAGCAGCTGCTCTTTTCCTGGGACTGTGTGGGTCCTGAGACATACAGGAGCAGCGAGGGTAGACCACAAGGGAACTGACCCCTGCACTCTCCAAATGTACATGTCAGGGAAGAGTTAGGAAGCTCCTTTCCCAGCCAGGTGCAATGGGAGGTACTTGGAGGTGTGAAATTTTCCATGGAGGTGAGGCCTCACATCTTCCCTTTCTCTGGGTTGTGATGCAATATCAAGTATTTCAGAATCTGATACCTACTATCAATCACATTTTCCCTTTCTCAACCCCTAGATCCCTAAGTGTCTCAAATAAGGATTCCACTGTGAATTAAAGCAGCACCCAAAGAGAATTTGGCCATACACTTATTCTGCACGCCAGGAATGGTATAAAAATAGCCAACCTGCTGAAATATTCATTTGGGCCACGTTTGCTTGAATGTGGTGATGTTGCTGCTGCCAGTAACATTTCCTGGGCTTTTTTTCCCCCACCTCAGGGCCAAGATGGGGACTTCCAGCCAAGGTCCCAGCAAAAAGAAGCCCCCTATGGAAACCAGGAGGGTAAGCACCAAAATAGAAGCTTTGAGGCTCTTGGCTATTCCTGCTCTGTTACAAGTCAGGATTCCTGTTACCAGCGCATCTTGGTCCTAAGTACAGACTGACTTGACTGAACTCATTCTCAGGTTTCACCATCTGTAGAACAATATTCAACCATTCCACCCTTGCCACAACCTGTCCCCAAGGTGGCTGCATAGTACACACAATGATAAATCCTTTTGCTAAAAGTTCCTCTCTTCTTAGCTTAAAAAGCTGCTTCTTGTACTCTGCAGTGAGATAAGAAAATAGGTCTATTGAAGTGGGATTCAGTATAGAATTTTCTCTTTAGAAACCTTTTTGCCTTCGTTTACACTGGGGTCTGAGTCTGGGAACATCTGGTCTTTACAGACGAACTAGGCATGTATCAGTACACTATACTGGTAAGAGAAAACTTCATTTAGAGCAGTGATGGGCTGGCCCCAGTAGTATTTGATTTCATCTGTGAGGTCTATTCTCCATTTAGATATTCATATATCTGCTACTTCTCCATTTCAGGGCTTCTTTTCCACAGTGGTCTCTAAAATAGTGCTGTTTTTCTTTTCCTCCCCTCTTGAAATAGCTGTTATTCATGCTTTTTTCCTACTTCTATTTCTCCAAAGTAGCTCTGACCTTAGGTATCCAAACACTCACAACTCACCTCCCTCACCGTGCCAGAACCCATAACATGATCAGTTATCAAGCAAACATTTACATATGCATTCATTCAGAAAACTTTCATTGAGTGTCTACTATGTGCCAAGTACTAGGGATGTCATGCTCTCCCTTAAAAACGCCAACAGTGTAAAGCTAGGCGGTGTAAAATTACTGATAGATGTGCTACATGCAGGAAGAAGGGAAGCACAGGGTACAAAGGAGAACCTCACCCAGACCAGGTGAATGTGAAAGAGGGTTCCCAGAGTAGCTCAAAGAAGTAAGGCCAAGAGGAAAGAGTGCAATGCTTTTGGTGACTGCAAGCCAGTGCTCCTGGAGCTTAGAGCACAGTGCTGAGAAATGTTACTGGAGAGGTTGGCACAGGCTGAATCATGAAAGGCCTTAACGCAACCTTCAAGATCACAGGAATTCCCTAAAACATTTTTAAGTAGAAAAATGAAGTGATTTTCATTTCTGAATGATGATTCTGTCTGCTGTTTGCTAGACATTGTGTTAGGTGCTGGGGGGCACCCAAACATGTGAAACCTGGTTTCTTTCCAGGAGCTTATCATTTAGTTGGGAGAAGAGTGAACCGTTATGGACTCAGACCTCTGCCTCTGTGGGCAGGGGCAGGGTACAGGGCCCTGTTGTGCTGTTGCCAACTGGCCCACAGAGTGGTTTTAGGCAGATGGTTTCCCTCTTCTATACTCCCATCCTTCAGAGAGGGAAGAAAAAGAAATGAGAAAGTACAAGAAGAGTACATTAAGCTCTGAAGAACAAAGACACTTTATACAACCAAGATAATTACTATTAAAGGAACATTTCCCTCACTCTCTACCCTTCCTACCTTCCTATTCTTAGTTTGACACATCATCTCCCTCAAGAACAGTACCCACAGTTTCTTACTCAACATAATTACCTTTTCAACCTGATACTGGGTTTAGAAAAAACTCTGAGCAAAAGAAATCCAAAAAGAACATGTTTATTGATTTTGACTCAAAGCCCAAAGCAGTCTCCATTGTAGACCCTGTTCCCAGAGAGGATTTCTCCTAAATTAAGTGATCACAGTGACTCTCAGTGTAAGTCACTCGAGCTGGAAAAATTGAATTTGCTCCTATGGTCCAACGCTTAATATTTTCTCTCCCCTTTGGGGGAAGTTAGGGTGTAGGATCACAGTGTGGATTGTGCGTGTCTGGACACGTGGGAGCCTGTGCGGTGAAAGCTTAAAAGAATACAACATGTATCTGAATAAGGTCTCTGTTTAATAAGAGGTGTTTGGGGTGAATGAGAAGGAAGGGCAGACCCACTGCCTTTGTTACTTCAGGTCGCAGACCTAGAGATCCAGACTTTGGAAGGATAAAAAATGGGAGAGAGCAGACGAATGGTGCAGAAGTAAAACAGACTGCAGTGTGCATAGCCTTTTTTGCTACCTCTGCTTGAACTGCACTTCTATGCAGAGCTGGTCCTGAACATACAGAGGACAACCTTGCATCAGATTTTCAGGGTATTGTGTCCTGTTGAATGTCCCAGATGGAACTGTCAATATTATTTCAGGCTATAATGTTTTTCCTCTCTTACACTATTTGCCTGAGAAGACCTTTATCAAGATTTCAGGAGAGCACAAAACTAAACTATCTTGTGAGGGGAATCTCCCCTGCTTCAGAAGTAGGCTTTACCTCTGCCCAAGGGCCTTTGCCCTTCCAGCCTTAGTGGATGCATTCATTAAGGCCAATGCAACAGGATTTAAGCCCCAAACCATAGTTTCATTGAATTTGTAAAAATCATTTTCTCAAACTAGAAATCAGAGCTGGGCCCTCTAAATTCCATCTCTACTTTGTCTAGAAGAAGTAAGAGATGGTCCCCTTCCTCCCTGGAGGAAGAGTTCCCTTTCACTTTTATAGGAATATGCCTTAGGTGGCTGCCTATATGGTCTGGGATTTGAGGGTTTGTGGAAAAGCTTATCTCAGAAACATCAGCTTATCCTTAGGTTGGGGCTTCATCCTAACTTTCTTAGGGGCTTGCTATGCCTCTGCCTCCCAGACCCACCTTGACAGTCTGCGGCCCCTTGCTATAGAATTCTTCACCAGCAAGACAGCTCAAGGAACTCTCCAGAACTGCTGGGTAGTCAGGCCCTCAGGTTCTGCCTGGGTGAGAGGTATGTCCTGTTGGTAGAGATCCCCAAAGAAAATATATCCCCTCACAAGACAGTTTAGCTTTGTGCTTTCCTGAAATCTTGAGAAAGGTCTTCTCAGGCAAATGGTGTAAGAGAGGAAAAACATTATACAGTTTCTGACTATCAGGTTGTCCACTGGAAATGTTCTGGGCTTGGAACCAGGTTGTAGGACGTCCCCTTCAAAGTACGGAGGAAGTTCTGTAAAGGGGTAGCACAGGGAGAAATAATAAGATTGCCTTGTAGTATGCTGGCTGCTTATGCCGTAGTCATGTTTCCACTGTCCCAGCTCTAGCCAAGCTGATGATATTTACTCATTAATGGCACTCTGCCTTTGTACATCATGTCCCTATCTGGAATTCCCTGCTCTCTCTGACCATCTCCTCACCCCCATTATGACAAAATCCCACTCATCCATCAAGGCCCCATTGAAATAGCACCTCCCCTGTGAAGTCTTCGTTGACTAACTGCCACCCACTCTATTCATGTCCTCTTCAGCAACCTATAGACTTGTGGGGTAGTCATATCACGCTGTCTTATAATACTTAGTTTATATGTCAATTTTACCACTAGATTTTACATTTCTCCAAGGTAAAGTTAAGGTCCTCCTGATTTCTGAAACCTCAATATTCTGTCCTTATTAATAGTTGGCACTCACTAACATGGAATGGTGTATTAAACCTAGCTTGGTTTGTTTTCAGCTCTTAAACCTTATGATTTTAGAGGGGCAGTGGTTAGGAAGCTGAAATGGAAAAGGGACAGTCCTATAGAAGGAAATATAGAACTTGCCTGGGCAGTCAGAAGCCAGGCCCCAGCACTGGTGTGAAATCAGTTCACCAGCAAATAGCATTCAGACCACCAAGCTGTGTAGGAGTAAAGCTGAAAACTTTTCTTGGTCCTCTTTTCATCAGAACATGGAAAGAAAAACCCAGCAGGAGTGGCAGGAGGCTCCAGCATTTGATATCACTGACGTCCAGGACCAGGGTAGGTTCTGGGGAATTCATATTTATTCTCCTTTAATAATTATCTTGTCCCCTTTAGTTCTCAGATGAACAGAGCAGCACAGAGCTCTGAGTCTGCACCCTCAGTAGGTGAGGTGCCTTGCTCCCATGGAGGTGCCTGTGGCCATCGTCTGGTCTGGGGGCCTGCCCTTGAGTAATAAAAGCCGCCCCAGCTCCCAAGAGGAGTGAAGGGAGGCAATGCATGTCCTTCCTATGCTTCTAATAGTGCAACTGATGTTTCCACTGTTTCAAAACATTTTCATGTGGGGTGATAAGTTTTACAGAAAAGTTGGGAGGGATGTGTTTCACTTTTCTGTCTTGCTGGAGAACGATCTCTGGGAAGCTTCTCTCTTCTTCCCTTCTGGGCATTAGTGTTAGTTAATATTGAAGGTGCAGTAGATGTTCGGCAAGGGCGGAAAATGCATGTCGAGGTTGCCCTTCCAACTTGCTAATCTTTTACCCAGCATGAGGATGCAGTATGGACTGCAGTTATCACAGATGCAGGGATGTAAGCAAGTGAGTTCTTCAACAAGTTGTCATTCCATGTGAAGACACACCAGCCATGGTGGGTGGCTAGGACTTGAGCCATGTAAAATCTCAGGGGCCTGACTTTGAAAATACTCCAGGGTCAGAATAGCATCTTACTGAGCTGAGATGAAATTAGGAAGATCAGAACAAACAATTCACCTGACTTCAAACAAATCCTGGTGTGAGGCTGCCCTTGGCTCATGCCAGGTGTCCTGCCTCCTGCTCACATGAAAGTAGCCTACGGACTAATACCTTTTCCCTTCCTGAGTGTTTTCCTTGCAGATTCTACATGTGGAGACAGCCTAGCAGGGCAGATTATCCCACCATTGCAGCAAAACAATCCACCTCCACCTAAAGGACCCACAGAGCCAGGAACCAGTGGCTTCTTTGGGTTTCTAAGGTAGAACACACTTTCTCCTGCTAGCAAACTGTGACCCGGAGTGGTCTAGCTCCAGAGTCCGCCTCACTGAGTCTCTCAGGGAAATTAGAGAAGAAAGCAGAGCACTGCATAATCTCTCTTTTGTCCAGGATAGTGATGGAAATGAGATTGAGCACAAGGGCCCTAACTGTGAATTTAATGAAGACTGTGTCTTGTTCATTTTCACACAACCCACCCCACCCCGATGTACCCAGCACTGGCCTGGTTCCATAAGTGCTGCCTAGACAGAGACTGTTCTTATTGTACTTGGGTCATTCAGATGATTTGTTACCAAATGCTTCCATTTCCCCTCTGAATCTAGGCTGTGTCTCCAGAGTCCTTTTTGCAGAGGACAGTTAGCAAATCTCTCTGTCTAGAGCTCAGCCATCCCATTGCAATTCTCCCTCTCCATTTCCCCCTCCTGAGTATAATCTAATTTGGGTACCTTTTCCAATGCTGTTCCAGACTTGAATTTCCACTCAGTGGTTCCCCAGAGCAAGAATGCCCTAGCTAATTGACCCCTAATGGGACCTGGGAGAAGGGAAGGGGACCTCTAGAGTCTCAACCTGCTCTGCTCTCCTTCCTGCAGCTTCCTCTTCCCGTTTCGGTATTTCTTCAGGAAGAGCAGACAGTGAGCCTTCCAAATGCAGCAGTGGGAAGAGTGTCCTCTCGCAGTGACTCCTCTCACTCCGTACTCTGCTTATGACATTCCAGTCATGGGGAATGAGGGCCCCAAACTCCCTGGTCCTCTTCTGGGTTTGTCCTGGCCTTTGCCCCGTTACAATGGAATGTTTTTTCAATTTAAAACACTAAGAAAAGAATGGAACTTTCTAAAATGCTCTAGTCTGAGAATTGTACTTCTCTGAGGGCCACTTTAGGTCTTTCATCTCCAGCACTTAGGATCCTAATGACAATAAATTATTTATGAAGAGTTATTGACTGAATTTAGTGAAGTAGAGAAAGTGAGAGAGAGCAAACTCTTCCTCAAGACAAGGGAAGCAATGCCTGAAACCTCCCCTGGGTCTACCTGGTTCTTGTTGACAGGATGCTTTGGGTGGGTGGGATCTATACCTGACCTCAAGCCTTAAACTCCTCTGCAGGGGGTTAGGGAATGGGGTCTTGCAAGACTCACTGTCCTGAGCCCTACTGACCCTCAAGAAATCATCCCTCCCCAATGCACCCAGTTTGGCCCCCAAGTACACCCTATCAGTAGATAAATACTTCTCACCCACCTGTCCCTCTGACTTTTGACAGTAATGCAGATTAGTTTATCAGATTAACTGACAGTTAGTCCAGGTTAAGGCCTCTGGAGAAGACCAGGGCACCTGAGCTCTGTCTTCATGTAACACAAGGGCTGATCTGGGACGTACAGATTAGACTTGGGTTGTGCAGCCACAGAGGATCAAAATAATAGATGGGAATTTAGGAAAACTCATTTCAGCTCAGAACAAGGAAATCACTTTTTAAGTGTTAGAGGTGTCCAGGGCCAGACCCGTGGCTTAGCGGTTAAGTGTGTGCGCTCCGCTGCTGGCGGCCCGGGTTCGGATCCCGGGCGTGCACCGACACACCGCTTCTCCAGCCATGCTGAGGCCGCGTCCCACATACAGCAACTAGAAGGATGTGCAGCTATGACATACAACTATCTACTGGGGCTTTGGGGGAGAAAAAAATAAATAAATAAAATGTTTAAGTGTTAGAGATGTCCAGTATTAGAATGGGCCACAGTGTGAGGTAAGGAGCCCTCATCACCCTAGTCTTTAAATAGAGCTGATTATCTGTCAGGTGCTGGAAGGTTCACGTGATGAGTGGGAGAGCTGGGGCTGGACTGCAAAGGTCCTTGGAATCCCATTGTTTCACTGCCTTTACCTTGGGTGGGAAGAAGAGAAGAGAGGTGGGCTGCTGCTGTGGGAGGGCCTGGGACCTGAGGGGAGGGGGGCCAAAGGGGAGGCTGTCACGTGTGAGGACTGGAGGACTGGGACAAGTTGCATTTACAGCCTTTGCTCTCCTGTCCCAAACATGGCCTGTTTACAAAGCTGCTGAAAGGCACAACTCCACAATCTGGAGATCCTGAGTCCATTCTGAGTCTGACTAGTTTACAGTGAAGCCTTGGCAAAGTCGCTTCCCTCTCTGGTTCTTATTTTCTCATCTAGAAAATGAAGGGGTAGGATTTGATGAGCTCCCAAGTGCCTTCCAGATCTGCTAGTCTGTGTGGCTGGCTCCGCCTTTCTGAGCAGGTCAGTGAGGCATGGCCCTGGGATGTGGGGGCCAAATCACCACAGACTTCCTTCGGATCTCCACCCCGACCCAGCCCCTGCGGCTACTGCTGACTAGGGGTCTTTTTCCAACTTGCCACATTCTTGCCCCTTGTAATTTAGTGTAATTTAGCACCATGTATGGATAGCAGGAGATTTTTGGGTTCCGAATCAGCCCTGACATTAACTTGCTGTGTGACCTTGAGTAACTTTCCTTCTCTGAGCCTTAGTTGCCTCACCTGTAAAACCAGAGCCAGAGCTAAACTAAACAATGGGATTTGCTGGGGTTGACAGCTTCAGTCTCTTCCAGGAGTCAGGTCCCTGTTACTCTAGGGACTAATGGGGCCCCCATGCTCAAGCTGACTCCCGGGATGAGAAGTCATCCACTTGGCAGTGAAAGTGAAGCTCTGAAATGGACTTATAAACCCCCATTCCCTCCTGGCTCTGCCACCCAGCACATTTCAGGAGACGCCCACTGGTGTCATTTCCCTTGTCTATAGGAATCTCTTCCCCGACCCCTTTCCTCTGCAGTGGATAAAAGAGACAGGCAGAGTTGAGTTTAGTAGCTTTAAGATTGGGGTGGCAAGGCCCTGAACAGTGGAGTGTCCTGCCCAAGGCTGCACAGCAAAGGTGTGCCAGGTGGCCACAACTCAGTCCAGTCTCCAGCCCTCTCTCCCAGCTGCACACTAGCCGCCCAGTCCACCAGCTCCTGGACTTTTCTCCACACCTCACTTCCCCCAGCCCTGGACCTCGGGCAGCTCTGAGACAGAAGGGAAGCAGAAAGCAGCAGCTCTCTGAGGACCACACCTCAGAGAGGAGCTGGATCTCCCAGGTGGGATTGCTCTGAGGCCTCTGGCAGGGAGGCAGGCCTGAAAGCCGATCTCCAAGAGGGCGTGGCTCCAGAATGCTGGCAAATAAAAATCCGGAGAGCCAGCACCGTCTGGAGACCTGCAGTAGGCACGAGGACCCACTCAGCAAGCCACTGAGTTCCTGGGCCTTGGAAGTGGTAAGCCCCCTGAGGCAAGAGGAGCCCTGGGAGGGCCTCAGGACTGCCCACGAGGGTCCTGCAGGCCAAGATGGGGCAGGTGGAGGGAGGCAGATGTTTGTGCTCCAGATGGTGGGAGAAATTCCGGGGAAGAATCACTGCAGGGGGCTGACACGTCACATCCAGAGACAGCTGCTCACACTCACACCCATCCGGAGAGACACTCAGAGGCAGACACACACGCACACACCCAAAGGCAGATTCCCAAAGGGAAAAGACAGCCTCACTCACAGGCTTGCTTCACTCCAGTCAGGAAGGCCAACCTAGCCCTGGCTCATTCACCTGGAGGCATGTGGTATTTAAAGAACTCCCCCTCCCACCTGCACACCCATCTAGAGACATCTATCTACCCACTGTGTTTCAGATGCCCATGGCGTCCCCCCAAACCTTGCTCCTCTGCCTGCTGGTCCTGGCGGTCACTGAAGGCCAGGGGCAGCAGGCAGCCATCCCAGGCTGCTACTTGCACCGTAAGTAACCCTGGGAGCAGAGAGCTGGGTGGGACCCAAGAGCTGATGGACTGGACTGAGGGCCAGGTAGCCCCCTCCATGTGGTTCCGGCAGAAGAGCTGGGCGAGCCTTTGCAGAGGCACTATCTACCACTCGCCTGTTTCCTTCTAGCCTTCAACGTGACAGTGCGAAGTGACCGCCAAGGCACCTGCCAGGGCTCCCATGTGGCACAGGCTTGTGTGGGCCACTGCGAGTCCAGTGCCTTCCCTTCCCGCTACTCCGTGCTGGTGGCCAGTGGCTATCGACACAACATCACCTCCGTCTCTCAGTGCTGCACCATCAGCGGCCTGAGGAAGGTGAGGGGGCCCAGCCCAATGGTGGTTCGTTGGGGACTGGGGGAGACAGAGAAGACGGGAATCTAAGATGGCCCAAGGAAGGGGGCTGGAACATGGACCCCCTCTCCCACAGGTGAAGGTGCAGCTGCAGTGTGGGGGGGACCGGAGGGAGGAGCTGGAGATCTTCACGGCCAGGACCTGCCAGTGTGACATGTGTCGCCTCTCGCGCTACTAGCCCATCCTTTCCCCTCCTCCCTCCCCTTGGTCAGAGGTTTGAGTTGGAGTATATCTTGTCCATCCTGAGCCTCATTGAGGACAACAGCTCCAACCCTCTTAAGATTCTGTGATTGTCACCTCCTGAGAAGAGGGGCATTTCTGCCTCTGCCTGGCCTCCTAACCAGCCTTTCATCATTTCACTGCCCTCTTTGTCCCTACCCCTAAATAAAGCAAGCAGTCCTCGAGTTTCTTTCTTTATTAAGTCTACCCCCAGCCAGGGGAAGGGGGACAGACCACGGTAACTGTGACCCCCTCCTTGCCCCAGGACATGGGGAATCTCTTCTGCCTGTGCCCTCACCCCTCCCCCTGCCCAATAAATAAAAAGGGAACAAGGAAGGACAGGGCAAGGGAAGGGAGGGAAGGAGGATGCCCCAGGCCCAGGACAGTGTCTGTATTGGGGGTGAGCTGGGAGAGAATAAATAGACCATGGATCCCATGGTGGGGTGAGGAAGGACCTCGCGCTGGCACGAGGTGGGGCGGGCGAGGGACTGAGTCCCCTTGCCCTGGGCCGAGAGCAGGGGGTGGGAACCTGCCTGCATTCTGGAGTCCAGCTTTGCGGGGCAGGGGCAGATCCCTGATGGCAGCTTCCTGGTCAAACTTGCCCTGGTCAAGTCCTGCCACGAGGGCCTGAGAGTTCTGTTGCCAGGACCACCATTGCTTCTCCTCCTCTCCCCACAGTGAAAGCTGCCCGTGTTGGGCCAGGCAGGGAGCCCTCCGAGCCCCTCTGGCAAGGCCAGGGGTAGATGTGTGTCTCTCTAGGCCCCTGGGCAGGAGAGGGGATGGAGGGACTGATAGCGCTGGGTGTAGCTCCTCCCCTTCTGGGGGAACTCTAGCTCTGACCCCCACTGGTGGCCACCTGGGGTGTAAGCCGCTGGAGGGGGGCCTCTTTGGCCCCCTGGGTCCCCTGTAACCGGCGTAGCCGAAGCTCCTCCAGACCTTGCCACAGCTCCTGCCGCTCGCGGGCCTTCTGCTGCTCCCTAAGGAGAAAAGGTGAGGCAGCTGCCCTACCCAGGTCCCTGCCTACAGTGCAGCCTCCCTCCCCACCACCCCACCTGCAGAGGGCTTCTGTGGGAACCTTCCTCTTACGGGAGAGCACTGAGGAGAGACTGGCCCCAGCCTGCGGTCATGGAGCAGACAGACTAGCCTGCCTCTCTGAGGCCCGGCTGAAGGGTAGGAGGCTCCAGGCCTAGAGTCGGAAGCTCCATACCTGGAAGAAGCCCTTGGGAGGAGGATTGGAAGGATGCTCAGGGAGTCGGGCGTGGGTGGCCCAGCACTTGGCGGGAACATAGGGAGAGACCCTAAACATCTGATCAGATGGAATGTGGGGTTGTCCTCTTAGGTGCCCTCCAACTATGAGGAGCTAGTTCCTTCCTGCTTTTCTCTCGTCTCCCTCCAAGCCCAGCCCCCCAACACTCACTGCTGCTTTTCCAGCTTGTAGGAGGCTGTGAGCTCATCAAACAGCTTGCCATTCATCTCCATGAAGGTCTTGAGCACATTGTAGATCAGAGATACGATGGTTCTTGGCAGGGTCAAGAGAGGGGGTGAGGAGATGAGAGCAACTTTAGTTTGGCCCCACCTCCCTCTCCAGCACTCTATCTATGTTGTTCCCCAAAAACAGCGTGCAGCCCTAAACACCACAAGCACTGCCCTCTTCCTGCCCCTTTCACTGCCCCTCGGCCATCTTCAGACGCCTTCCCTGATCCTCTCCAGCTAGGAGTAACCCCAGGTCTGGACTGACAGCCCTGAACTCAGCTTCTATGGGTTAGGTCAAGGCCTGGGCACTCACTGATTCCAGTGCTCCTTGGAGACTTGGTAGAGGGTCCCAAACACAGCAGGCAGCACAGTGTGGCAGTTGTCCTCAATGAGGCTCAGGATATACTCATTGTTCCAGAAATACAGAGCCCGCTCTGCAACCTGGGGCAGTGAGATGGCAGAGTGAGCACCTGGCAGTGGCTTCCCCGTATATGCATGGCCTGGTATCCACACCCACCTCAAACCGAGAGTGCCCTGCCCTCCACACACCCCATCCTCGGGGCTCATCCAACCCAATGGAGGAAGCAATGTAGTGAGGAGAAAAGAGCACTGCCTTTAGAGTCCAATGCTCAGGGTTGAATCCTAGCTCCACTGCACACTGGCCACATGACCTTGGGCGAGGCATTTAACCTTTCAGCCTCAGTTTTCTCATCTGTAAAATGAGGCTAATAGTAGCTACCTCCCTAGCGCTGTTACAAGAATAAATGAGGTGTTTAATAAACTGAAGTACCAGAGTCACTGCGAGGAGGAATTGACTTCCACCGGGTTATGGCTCATAAGAATGGGAGATAGTTTGCACACACACCAGAAAACACCAGTTACAGCCAGCCTGATGATGTGGGGAAGCCTGACTGGCCCTGAAATGGCATTAGTGAAACTGAAGGCCACTAAGAAAAGGGAAGAAGTGAGAACAACCCATTCTGAAGCACATTTCAGTTTTCCTAATATGTTTACACTACACTCTCTTCAGTCTTCATCACCACCCTGTGAGGAGCTCACTGTTGGCCCACTTTACAGATGAGGAAACTTAATCAGACTCAGAGTGATGCAGTGATTTGCCCAAGGCCCCTCAGCCAGTGGAAGGCAGATCTGAGGCTTGACCTAGGTATCCTGACCCTAAGTCCATCGTCTCCCCATTATCAGACCCAGGAAGGTCTGGAAGCAAAACTGAGGGCAGAGGGAGCTATGTTAGGTCAACTGGCCAACCTTCCTAGTCCATACCCTGCCTCCCACCCTGACCCGTCCCCGCCCCATACCTGGAAATGGGGGCTAGACACACAGCGAGCCACCTGCTTGAAGAGGGGCTCCTGGATCTTCACGAACTGGGAGGGCTCAATGACATCAAGAATCTCTTCCATCTCCCCCAGAAACATCACCTGGGGGGTAGGACACGGGGCAGCAATTCCCATCTCCTCTGACACACACCTGACTGCCCTCCAGAAGCTGAGCCCTCCCACCCTCCCTCTGGTGGATGTCAAAGCCCTTCTTCATACCTCCTTTTGGGTGCAGGTTTTTGGCCAGTATTTGAGCAGCCCCCGGATCACCTGTGGGAGTTGAGGCAGGAAGGAGTCAGACCTGCAGGGCTGGGGGCCTGCCTTTCCCCCCAAAGGTACTCACGTGCTCTGTCAAGGTGGCGTCCTTCTCCAGGAACTGCACCACGCAATATGCCAGCTGCAGCGGGAGAGAAAGAGGACTGGGGTCAGGAGGGGACCAGGACCAGGACCAGGACAGGAGGCCAGATGTTTGCTCCCTTACCGTGTCTACTCTGTCACTCACCAAGCATTTACTGACTACCTAGGGGGTACCAGGCACCATGCTTGGTGTGCAGGGACACGACGACGATCTCACTTGGGAAGCATGCAGCAAACTAGGCCTTATACACGTTACAAAAGGTTCCATAATCGAAATTCGTATCACAATCTATGGGAATATGGAAGCAGGAGAATTTAATACTGCCAGGGGCAGGTCGAGAGGGAAGGGGCTGTCTGAGATCAGCCTTAAAGGGTCATGGGAATTCTCTAAGGAAGACAGATCAGAATTAGTAAAGAAAAAGAAGGTGAGAGAGGATCCCGTGAGTTCGTGACTTAGTGTGGCTGGACCCAGAGTGTCAGTCTGACCCAGATGGCTGCCCTGACTCCACCTGGGCCTTACCTGGGCATGAAAGACAGACAGCGACTTGACGGAGTGCAGAGGAATCAGGACCCGAACCAGGAACTGCTTGTGCTCAGTCTTCAGGGGCAGTGCAAAGCCATTGATAATGCTGTGGAGGGGGCAGAAGAGAAGAGGAGGGCTCAGATGACCGAGTCTCAGGCCTTCCTCCCCGAACCCTGATGCTCCAGCTGAGGCCCAGGGAGAGTCACCTTCCTAAGATCTCCAGCAGCTCAGCCACGCCATTGAAGTGCTCGAGTTCATAGATGAACCTTCGAGAGGAAGAGAAGGATGCAGAAGGGCTCAGAGCAATTGGAGCAGGCCCAGCCTCCCTCTCAGCCATCCGGCCTGCCCACCCCCACCCTGCATGCTAATCCAACTCTCCCCCAACCCAGAGGCCATGCTCCCTTCTCAGTACCCCAAACCAGGCCCCACCGAGATCCATCCCCGCCTCTGAATTGCCCTTCTCAGCCCAGCCACCAGTGCTACTCCGGGTCCCAGCTCAAACCTCTCTTCTCTGAAGCAGTCTAACCTCTTCCTCCTCCAGACCCTAACCCTCATTACCTGGTCCCCATCCAGTCAGCAGGCACCTAGCCTGCGTCCTTCGCTCTTCATGCCAGTCAACCAAAAGAATGACAAACACTTAGAGCTATGTCTACTCTGTGCCATGTACTTCTTTTTTTTTTTTGTGAGGAAGATCAGCCCTGAGCTAACATCCTCCTCTTTTTGCTGAGGAAGACCGGCTCTGAGCTAACATCTATTGCCAATCCTCCTCCTTTTTGTCCCCCAAAGCCCCAGTAGATAGTTGTATGTCGTAGTTGCACATCCTTCTAGTTGCTGTATGTGGGACGCGGCCTCAGCATGGCCGGAGAAGCGGTGCATCGGTGCACGCCCGGGATCCGAACCCAGGCCACCAGTAGCGGAGCGCGCGCACTTAACCGCTAAGCCACGGGGCCGGCCCTGTGCCATGTACTTCTCAAAATTATTTTGGGAGGTAGGGCTTATTAGATCCATCACACATATGAAAAAATCAAGGCTCAGCAGTTCAATGAAACTTGCCCCAAAATTAATAAGCAGGGGCATCTAATGAACTCCAGGCTCCTGAAGGACAGGGATCACGTCTCACAGTGATCAGAGCTAACATTTCAGAGTCCCGGCCTCAGTCCACAAGCTACATTGAGTGCTTTGGAGGCACTGCCTCATTTCATCTTGATGACTGACCCGGGGTTAGTATAACTATCATTCTCATTTTAGAGATGAGGAGCTAGGAGAGAGCTTCAGTAATTTGCCCAAGTTCACCCAAATATTTGAACCAAAGTCAAACACAAGCTGTTTAACTCCAGAGCCAGTCTCAACTACAAAGCCATGTGGGCCGCTGATGCCCAGTGGGCACTGGTGCTCAATATACATTTGCAGAAAGAATCTCTTTCTTTGGGTCCCTATGGCCCTGCACAATAAGGGTCAAAAGATTTAGATCCTAGGCCCCCTGGACTGACCTAGTCCC